AACTCACCCCCCTCTGGGGGGGGGGGACCCAGCAGTCCTTCTGACTTCAAGAGCCAAAAGATGGAGCAGAGGGCAGCTCAGGGCCCTTGTGAAATGAAGGAGTGGTAGACAGAGGAACAATGGTGGAGTTCCAGAGTCCCAGTGTAATTTCTGCAGCTTCCCAGGCCTTGCCCGCCACCGTCAGTGTGACGACTCTCTTAGGAGCGGCACCTTGGCTCTGCATCTGTGCAGGCAGCTGTGAGAACTCCGAGGTGCCCGAGCTTGCCTTTTGCTGCTCTGAGAGTAGGCCTTGCCCATGCCATGCTCAGACTCCTGCTGAGTCAGGCCTGTGAGTGAGAACGAGAGAGTCTGGTATCAGTTGCCACTGAAACACAGAGGGCGGTCCATGGTCGGTGGTCGTTCCCCAGCTAGCTCATCAGAATGCAGACTTTCATGTGGCTTCTCTTCTTTACTCTCTCCGTGTGCCCTAGCCTAGCCTCAATCCACACACACACACACACACACACACACACACACACACACACACACACCTCAGAAACAATAACCACCACCACCCAGCAGCAGGTATCTGAAAAAGAAAGATCTGCTGGGATTTTATAGTCAGCAGAAACGGTTGAGCTGGTTAGTACCAGGGAGGGGAATACCTTTAGTCTTTGGTGTCTGGCGGCCTAGATTTCACACCCAATGGTGTTGCTGTAATATCAGACTGTGAAAACTGGCAAACAGGCTCACACAAGCACTGTAAACACAGCAGTGGCCTGTCAGGCCACTATCCCCTCTCTGCCATGACTAATAACTTCCTAGCTCTACCGTGGAAGAAATAGGCTTCTCAGCTGGCTTTTCATACCCATCTCCACAGGAGTTAGGGATCACATGATGTGACAAAGAATATTCTGCCTTCTTATCTGCCAGCCAAGGGACTCTTCCTTCAAAAATGAGTGCAATATATTGAAAGAAAAAAAGGTAGGCCTCATTTAGTCTAATCTTCAATTAACAGGCATTTCATGGAAACATTTTTGTCATTTTGTTTCTTGAAACAGGGTTTCTCTATGTAACAGCCCTGGCTGTCCAGGAACCCTTTATGGAGACCAGTCTGGTCTCAAACTCACAGAGATCTGCATGCCTCAGCCCCCAGAATACTGGGTATAAAGGCATGTGCCATTAATGCCTGGCTTTATGCTTAACACTCTAGCCTTTAAGGACTAAAAATATGCTGTAATAAAACTTACCTAAATTACTTAGAAAATTTTAAGTTTTTTTTCTTCTTCTTCTTTTTTTTTTGTTTTGTTTTTAAAGGAAGTTTTTAATTAGCTTAGCTCTCAGATTTAAAATTTAAAGTGACCATAAAGTCTGTAACTGGGCAAATAAATTCAGCCAGTTCTGAGTTAATATAACATTTTTAAAAATGTTTAAGGAGAATTTTTAGGGCAAAAAAGCATGAGAGATGTGAGCAAACATGAGCTGAATAGGGAATGTGGTTTTTTATTTCCCTAGACACAGTCTTTCATGCAGCCCTGGCTGATCTCAAAGTAAGTGTATCGCTAAGAATGACCTTGAATTTCCCACCCTTCTTCCCCCCATCCCCTGAGTGCTGGGATCGCTGGCATGTGCCATTGGCACAGGAGACCAAGCTCATGTTCGGCACACACTCTACTTAACATGAGCTTCGTCCCCTGCTCAAGAAACAAATCATAAAGTAGAGAAATGTGTATGCTAGTGCCAGAGACCCTTCAACAAGAAAGCAGGCCAGGTGTGTTCGCTTGTACCTGCAGTTCCAACGTTTGGGAGCCAGAGGCAGAGAGGCAGAGGGGCAGAGGGGCAGAGGCAGAGGGGCAGAGGCAGAGGGGCAGAGGGGCAGAGAGGCAGAGAGGCAGAGGGGCAGAGAGGCAGAGAGGCCCCGGGGTGCACACAGCAAGATCCTGTTTCAAAACAACAAAGGTTTTTGTGCTTCCAAGTTATGACTTCATAGCTCAAGTTTTAGTAGCTGGCACACAGCCTTCCACACATTGAACCTGACCCTTGGCCCTGATATGGATCTACGTGGCCATACAGAAGTCGACACAGCCAGCGGAATCCCATAGTTACTTTCTTAGCCACTTTGTAGTAACCAAGATTTCCTCCCTGTATTTTATGTGGCTTTTATTAAAACATGACGAATGTACAAGACTCTGAAGTTTATATATATATATATATATATATACATATATCATATATATGTATATATATATATATAAACAGAACCGTCCTTCTTCAAAGCTAACCACTGTTAACAAACTCAAGTACACATTTTTCTTCCAAAAACTGTCTATACATATCTATGAGCATATGTGTGTTAAGCATAACTTTAAGAAACTTCAGACACACACACTACTCTGTATGCATGCACATATTTTTGTGTGCCTGCATACATATACATGTAATATTCTGCATTTTTCTGGTTTTCAAAATTTGATGTTTTAGGAATGTCCTATATAGCCACGTAACTTACAGATCTCCAGTGCACGGCTGTTATTGATATGGACGTGTGTCTGGTCCCCGAGGCTGTTACTGATACGGACATACACTTGGTGCTCAGCTGGTGGCTTCTGGCCATAGCTGGCGGCTGAAGGACCAAGGCTAAAGGGTGATAGCCGGCTCTGGTCCCTGCCTGAGCATTCTGCTCCCTGGTTGGTCACTGATATGAGATGCGAACAAGCGGCCTGCCACCCTGAATATTGCCACACCTTGCCTGCTACAAGGCTGGGGTGAAATAATTCCTCCTTCTCCCAGCTGCGTATTTTGTCCCAGCCGTGGGGAAATTACGATGATCACATTATAGCTATCGAACCATGTTTGGTTTCAGACTTTTAATCCTACAGTACTCAGAGGCTTTTTCTCTTCTAATCGGGTTATTGGCCCATTCAGACTTCAACCCTGTACAGGAGAGGAATGGGTTCTGCTTTAGTTTCCACGTGATTATCCACACTTGTGCCATGTTAAGTGTTTCCCCACCAATGACATGTTTCCTTCATCAACAGCTTGGGCTCGTGTCTGTAGGTGGGTCCACTTCTCTCCTCTGGTGAAAGTGTACTGCTGGGACCTGGCATGGCTGTTTAATCAAAGGCATTTCCAAAGAGTTCTGACAAGAGAACAAGACCCATTTCAAGGTCCCTGCCTGGACATGACTGGCGCTGCACATGACGGGCACAGCGCGGAGCGGCTAGCCAGCCCTCCGAACCTCAGTGTTGACAGGACACTCACTGGCCCGTGGTCCTATCGCAACCACTCTAACGGATGGGCCCACGACAGAGAGTCAAGAAAATACACAGCTGCCTCACGGGTGCCAGCAATGTCAAGTTTATTCTGTAAAATAAGGCAAAGGTACAAATAACTCAGACAGAGCATTTAGCAGCCATCGCGTCCTCAAGAATTCTCAGATTATAAACTCCTCCGCTTCAATCTTTACAAAATCACATAGGCCAAGGGGAAGCTGTTTTAAGAAGCATGGTGATGTCTCCCATAGAGCAGAGCAGTCAGGAGGAAGGGCAGCTCCGCTGTTTGACAGCTGGGTGGGAACTTTCTCCTCCAGCTAGCAGAGGCCGAAACTGGGGGGGGGGGGGTTTCAAGCAAAACTGCTGCCCAGATCTTATACACCCTCAAGTCTGGACTTGGCCATCCAAACCTCTAACTGCAAAGACAAGGCTATTTTTATTCTCAGGTGGAGAAAGCAAGCACCTCTGGTCTCCAGCTGGTTTCTTGTCTAGCTTAGGTCATTTAACAAGTCAGATAAAGGGTCCCTGGGAAGCTGCTTTCCCGGCTTTGGCATAATTACACCCTCCTGTAGGTAAGGGCCTTGAAAACACAACAGTTAATCTCTCTGGCAGTTAATTAACTGAAATATAATCTTATATTTCCCCAAAAAAATTTTTTTTCCTACTTAGCCACTAAAAATGTAGTAGCCCAAATCACAAAGCCATGATTTGTGCTAGCCCAGTTTTTCCTTGTGTGATTTGCTTTTCTCCTGGACAAACAATGCTGGTGACGCTGGGGACAATCCTCTTTGTTCTCTGAACAGGGGGGCTTTCTCAGCATCCAGATACCATACGGAGCCTTTCCATAGTTCCGAAGGTTCCCTCGCTTTAAAACTGTGAGAAACTTATAAATTCAACGGTGGTCTCTGCCAAACAATTCAAACAACATTATAGATTTCTCTTATAATCTTGATTCAAGTATATAAATGATTAGATTAACATGATCGTCAATAGAAAGTAAACACACATTCTAGCTCATTTCTGGTGCAGTGAGACATAATAGCACCACCTATTTTAAAGTGTTAGTGGTAAAAATGTAATCCGGCTTAAGCACCATATGAGTTAGTTGTTCACGGAAACACAGAATGACTTGGTTTACTGGAAGGTGACAACAGTCTTTATAGCCCTGTAACTGCGCAAACCGTTCATTCGCCATATCCTGGTTCCCGGCAAGGAACAGCGTTCCTGGGAAGGGAAGGGCACAGACTTTGGGTTCAGGCTGAGTAAGTGTGCAATATTTCACAGACCCCAGAACTAGACACACAATGAGGGTTCCAGGCGCTGTGATGCTGCAACTTGTATGTCATCATGGAGCACACTAAAATTGCTGAACAGAGCTCTGCAGCCTTAAGCATCAAACAGGAAAGCTGGAGGAGTTATGCTAGTGCCCCATTCCTATCTTTTTAATCAAAATGTATCCTCTTATTCCATTTCAAAATGAAATACCCTAAACTCCATTTCAAAAATGAAGTATTTGAAACTTAAATTTTTTTTAACTTAAAATTACTTGGATTAACTATGTTAGTAGTTAGAGACAGTAAATACATGCAAACAAAATAAAGTGCACCTTCACAGCATTTAAGATAACAGACTCAGAAGATACTCAGTTAAATTGGCATATAGACCGAAATATGAAAAGCAGCTGACTAGCAAAGTTAGGTAAAAATCAGAAAAGTGTCAACTGAAAAACCACAATTTTTGAGTATACCAGAAGGACAAATAACCTTTATTTCAGGCTACTGTTAAATTGGAAGACTCTTGTGCAGGAGAAAGGAAAGCCGCTCTGCTAGAAGGCACTAATTGGTTTAAACGGGGAAGTGACTTCATGAGTCCAGTCCAGGAGGCCGCCTGGCTCTAGCTGTACTTGTTACTCTTCCCATGGTTGTAGGACAGGATATTGCTCTGGAGTGCGTCAGTCACAGCCTCACGCAGCTTGGTCTACCATGTGGCAGATCTCCTTGACTTTCTGGTTGAACTCTTCTGGCTGATCCGCATACACATAATGCCCCGCCCCCAGGATAGCCTAGGAATGAAGAGCAGGCAGGCCAGTGAGCTGAACAACAGTGCTCAGAAACAAAAAGATGAGTGGAACTCATCCGCCAATCACAGGAAAACCTCCCGAACCTTAATAGCCCCACTCCAGAGCAGCAACCCACCTGCTGTGTGTGACACTGGACCAGGCTTCCAGTGTCTTCACAGGGTGGGAAGGCTCCCGGAAAGGTGATTCACTACTGGGACATAAACCCATGAGGGACTCAAACCTGCCCGCATCCCTGTGACATCAGGTTTCTGAATGGGGCTGTGAGTGACAACCAAGGCCAGGTCCATACTCACTATTGTCTTCACATAGGACTTGGGTCGCAGTGACTGGATGCTGGTGCCGGAGTTGCCATCTATGCAGGACCGGGCGCCGAAGATCACAGAAACTGGAATGTCAGGGTGCAAGTCTCCTATCCGCTGAAGCATTGGCCGCTTCGCCCACCCGTAAGGAATGGTCATGTTTTTGAAGGCTGTCTCACCACTGTGGAGAGGAGAAGTTACATCCCACGATCTTGGGGTGTGACTCTGCACTACAGTCTGTCTCATCGGTTAAAACATATTCACATTTCACTTTCCAGCGTTTAAGAAAAGTGTTTATTGAAACTTTCAAACAATTTACTAGATAATGTAAGCGGGAGATCCATACGTTACTGTTATTAGATAAACAAAGCTGTAGCATAATGGAGCTAACTCAAAGTTTTCTTCTAATTCACACTAAGAAACGGAAGCTGGGAGTAATGGGCGCTCGGCAGAAGCCCCTAGAAACTGCCGAGCAAGTCGACGGCATCAGAGACCTTAACAAACTGATCTCTCAGGGTCAGTGGCCTCCAGTTCTTTTACTGAAGGAGGCTCTGACTGACTGTAACACAGTGCTGCCGGCTTCCCTGGGTCTCACCTGCCAGCAGGGAGGGCAGAAGGAGGAAAAGCAGAGGAGGAGGCTGGTGTGCACCTTGGCCTGCGCTACACATACTAGGATTGTCTCAAGCATTTGTCACTGACGCGCCCTAGAACTGCGGAGTCAGTCCTAAACTGCACTTAGGAGGCATTGTGCTCGCTTTGCACCTCAGTCTGGCTGCAAGCCTGAACTTCATGCCCCATGCCCAGCTGGGATCACACTGCTGTCACACCACAAACCACCTGAGGACCTGAGACTGCTCCCTGTGCCCCACGTCTTCAGAGTGTGCTTTCTACTGCCACCTTGCACCTGGTACCCAAAAGCCCTATTTTAGAAAGCCGTATGTTTATGCCCTTTGCTTTCTCTGGCTACTCGGCACCTGTTTGAGTATTCCTCCCCTCTCTAGTCCTGAAGTTGACAAGCAGAATGCTACCTGACTCACGCATCCTTTCTCAGCCCTCGCCCAGTGAAAACAGGCTTCTCACATTGACGCACAGACGTAGGAGATGCCCAACAAGGTGGGTGGTAACAGCCCAGTGAACTGGAAATGCTGCCCAGCCCTTTTCAGGGGCACGAGCCTGCAAGGCTCTGGAAGCGCCAATGCAGACCACGCCCCTTGCTTACTCTGACACTTCCTGTGTTCTGGAGCCTTCCCACTCGGTTGGTTGGTGGGGGCAGGAATAAGCTTGAAGTGAAATTCTTGTCTCTCCCAACCTAGACCTCTTTGAGATTCCTAAACCTAAGCCGTCCTCTGTCCTCGGATTAGCTGTGAACTTTGAGGGGAAGAAAGTGTGTTTTATTTACGACATCCATGGGGATATACAATGTTTACACGATGGTCACTTAATGAAAAGACACAGAATTATGCAGCAGAAATGTTAAAATATATCTAGCTACCAATAAACACATATTCATAGAAAGAAAGGTCTGAAGCACGAACGGTAAATTTAGAATCAGTTTTCTAGACATAGTAGGGAGCTGCACATAGGAACTAAGGGCAGATGAGAGAGCATGCAAGACCTGTACAAGCTCAAACAAGAAAAATCCCCAGCTTGGAGGGGGAGGAGGGCATAAAGTTCTACCTCTGGCTAAGGCGCTTTTGGCAACTGATAGCTTCTGTGAGAGGAAGACCCGGTTTTCTTTATGGCGTGTTCCCTGGTAGGTCAACCACCCTCTAGGTCACACATCCAACATATCAATATATGCACAACAACAACTGTATTTGATGGGTTAAGGGGGGGGGAAGGACACAAAGCTAGGTATGTAGTGAAGAGGGATAATTATGGGAGGTATTGGGGGAACAGTAACTATGCTCAAAATAGAAACTTAGGAGTCGTAACCCTTACCTGGGGGTCTGTACATTACAGTGGTAGATATACTCTGTCACGGTGTCATCTTCAAACATGGAGGAGTACTTCCGCTTGAAATCAGGCCTTAAGCGCTGCACTAGACTTAACCCTATTGGACAGAAAATAAAAGCACTTATCTTCTAAGTTGTTTGACTTACTCACAGCATAAAATACAGTGCTTGTTATTTTGTAAATGCTATGTATATACATCTATATGTGCTTTTAAATATGTACTTTAGATTGAAAAGAAGCATAAATCCTGAAAGATGCTCTCGAGTTCCGCCAAGGACAGATGAAAGGACACTTGAAGGTGTTCTACACTGACCTACAGGTGTGCCTTAGGCGCTCCAAATATGCTGATTTCCTAGGACTTGTTTTTGTAGAATAAATTATTTAACTGAGGTCACTGAATAGAGCAACTTATAAAATCATGAAATCACATTACTGTAATATAATAACAATACACTATAAGCAAACCAGGAGACTCATAATTTTTTTTCCTTTATGATAAAATAAATTCAGAACTTCTGTTTGGGCACTTGGATAGTCTCTTCTGAGTCATCTGAATGCACAAGGCCTCAAGGAAAACAGAAAGAGGAGCGGAGGCCTCCCGTGGGCACGTCCGTGCGCTGTGGGGTGGGGTGGAGGCCTCCCGTGGGCACGTCCGTGCGCTGTGGGGTGGGGTGGAGGCCTCCCGTGGGCACGTCCGTGCGCTGTGGGGTGGAGGCCTCCCGTGGGCACGTCCGTGCGCTATGGGGTGGGGCGGAGGCCTCCTGTGGACACGCCCGTGTGATGCCCCCTCTTTGCTTGGCCTGTCTGTGTCACTTTTGAAAGGTCACATTACTTGGAGAATGTCTGTGTCACCTCGGCCACACCCAAGCACAGGCGGTAGCAGAAGTCGGAATGTCAACTGCTCTCCTCTCCCCTCTGCTGTGCCTTCCCCCACCCACCACCGCCTGCCGGCTGGAGCCTGAAATGCTGCTTACAGGCTCAGGTCCCTGACTTTACAGCTGGGGCACTGTTTTGGGAGGCCAGGGAGAACTGAGGAGGCAGAGGCAGGCCCTAGCTGGTGGCAGTGGGCGGCTAGAACGGGTGCTTCCTGGTGTTCACATCCTCCACACCATGACACGAATCCCTTCCCAGTTACAGTGATTCAAAGCCCCTAAAACCAAACGAACACCAACCCTCTGCCCTCTGTTTGGTCAGGTGTTCTGGTTAGTGATGTGGAAATTCACTAAGACAGCCTTCTAGTTCCTTTTCATACTCTCCTTTCCCGTAGCTGTCATTTGTGTGCCTGTGAGTACCCATGGAGCTTACCAGAGGGCAGCCAGATATCCAGGAAGGAGTGGATTTTCAAGGGGCTGAAGACTGAAGGGACCAGCAATCGTACCTGAATGAGCCCCGGAGAAGTGTTTAACCCTGTGTGGCCTCTTATGGCACCCTTACCCAACTGCTCTCACCAAAAGGGCAAGGACACTTCCTGGCCCGGAAAGAAGGGAACAGAATCTAGCCAGCCAGGTAGCAGTCACTCCATAACCTTTACCCACTTTCCACATCTCTCCCCCTTTCCCGAGGACAGAATGCAGTTTTCTTCTTTAGTGATGATTTAGGCAGCAATTGCCAAGGGAGGCTGCCTCCCCTTGAGCTGTGGAGCAAACTGTCATCAGGAACAGACATTTATCCTTTCTAAGCCAAAGAGCTAGCAGGAGGCAGAGAGAGAGGGAGAGAGAGACAGGGAGGAGAGAGAGAGAGAGAGGGAGAGAGAGAGGATGGTCCACTGCAGCCTTCTTCACTGACACAGGCCATTATAGAAAACATTTTTCCCTGTTCAAGGAACATTGTGAGACAAGGGTTCCTGTCACTGAATCGCTGGGTAACTGCTGGGGGAGGGGCAGCCATAGACACGGGGCTGGAGATGGGACTCCGCAGTTAACAGCACTGGTTGGTCTCCCTGAGTTCAGTTCCCAGCACCCACACGATGGCTCACAACCATCTGTGACTCCAGTTCTAGGTTATCTGATACGTCTTCTGGCCTCCTAGGACACCACACATATGCATGGTGTTCAGACATATGTGCAGCAAAACATTCACACACGCACACACACAAATGTAAGATTGTTACAAGGATCACAGACACAGGCCAGGGTTGTGGCTCACACCTTTAGTCCTACCACTCAGCAGACAGAGGCAGGTGATCTGTGAATGTGAGGTCAGCTTGAGCTACATTTCGGGTTCCAGGCCTGTTGGGGCTGTAGAGTGAGCCCCTGTCTCAAGCTGATAATTATCATCAGAGGCAGAGAAGCCAACGTTACAGACTGCTTGTTAGGAGAGTAATAAAGGCCCTCATGGTCTATGCTATTTATCACATGTTCAGCTGCTCACTGCTAAAAGCACTCCCAGCTGACACACGTTGTGAGGGGGCACAGTGCGGGCTCAGATCGTCACCGTCTGAGTCAACAAGGAAAGAAAATTTCTGTAGCCACGAGCTAAGACTTTGGAGCTGAGAGTCTAAACACCAGTACTGAAAATAAACAAATAGTCGGGAGTCCTCAAAGTGTTTGTGCAAAGGATGGTTTTACCTTTCCTCACACTGACATGGAGGAAGAGAGAAGAAATCTTGGCACGCTGACGTTGGCCAGTTCCACGGTCAGTCAGGTTTTGTGACCCATCGACTGCTTCATTCTCCCTGGCAGCCACATACTCTCAAATGGTCACCAGAGGTCCTCACACGTCACTCTTCCGTGGTGACACTGACCTACCCTATCCCCAGCGCTTCCCTGTGTCTCTGCTGTGCCAACTGCTGTAATGTTTTACAATATAAAAGCTCCCTCTTTAAGGAAAGCAGTTGGCTTCATCTTGTTATCATTCAGCCTGACATTAAGGGAGAATCAGAAAAAGAGCGAGCTCTGATTTACTCGTGGCTTTAACTAACAATGGTGATCAGTAAACACAGATGGCCCCCTATTTATGGTGCTTCAACTTAGGACAGTAGAGGAGAAATGGTCTTCAGTTAAAATCGTGTTTTGAATTTTGATAGTTTCCTGAGCTGACATGCGGGACCACACTCTCTTGTGATGACAGAAGTGACAGCCACACACAGGGTTCTACAGGACAGTGGGCCACTGCTACTGCATGATGCTAGGTAGGTACTCTGAGCTGACCATGGCTTTCATGGGATGCAGCGCCGTCCTATCCCACGTGGGAGGAAGCTGACACTCTGTTACTGTTCAACTATAAACCCTGTTCTTTCCCAGGACATGAATACTCACCAAAAGGTCCTGCGATCCTGAGGCCAGCCAAGGGGTTAAAGGGAGTCAGTGCTGCTCCCAGGACTCTGATCCAAACTGGAATTGGTCTCTCTTGATCAGCAAGATCGGGTCGCTCAGGAAAACCCCATGGCTCTACTAAAATGAGGTGACTAACTCTGTTGGGGGGGGGGGGGGAAACAGATTTAAGTTCATTTGGTAAATTCACCCTCTAACTGTAGAGCGCTAACTAAACAAACTCAAGGTGGACCGAACCACCTTAAAGAGAAGGCGCTGGCTGTTGACCAGGCTGTATCATGCTTTCGCTGTCAACGTCTACGACTGCAAAGACTTGAGGGTTTACGGCAAAAGGGAGGCGGGAAAGGGAAGGCTTTGCAAACTTGGGTAGCAACAGGCACATTAAAGTAAAGTAAATAACTGTGATCCTAAAAGAACAGAGGAGAGGAGGAGGTGAGGGAGGGGGAGGGGGAGGAAGTGAGGGAGGGGAGGAAGTGAGGGAGGGGGAGGAAGTGAGGGAGGGGGAGGAGGTGAGGGAGGGGGAGGAGGTGAGGGAGGGGGAGGAGGTGAGGGAGGGGGAGGAGGTGAGGGAGGGGGAGGAGGTGAGGGAGGGGGAGGAGGTGAGGGAGGGGGAGGAGGTGAGGGAGGGGGAGGAAGTGAGGGAGGGGGGGGAGGAAGTGAGGGAGGGGGAGGGAAGTGAGGGAGAGGGAGGGAAAGTGAGGGAGGGGGAGGAAGTGAGGGAGAGGGAGGGGAAGTGAGGGAGGGGGAGGAAGTGAGGGAGGGGGAGGAAGTGAGGGAGGGGGAGGAGGTGAGGGAGGGGGAGGAAGTGAGGGAGGGGAGGAAGTGAGGGAGGGGGAGGAAGTGAGGGAGGGGGAGGAAGTGAGGGAGGGGGAGGAGGTGAGGGAGGGGGAGGAGGTGAGGGAGGGGGAGGAAGTGAGGGAGGGGGAGGAAGTGAGGGAGGGGGAGGAGGTGAGGGAGGGGGAGGAGGTGAGGGAGGGGGAGGAAGTGAGGGAGGGGGAGGAAGTGAGGAAGAGGAAGAGGGGAGGAAGTGAGGAAGAAGGGATGACGTCCTACAGGTGATACCCATCACTGACCACACCCAAGAGCCCAGTGGTTCTGTGCATCTCGAGGCTGGCACTGCAGAAATGACGAGAGGTCAACACTACACTCATGAAATGGTTAATCTCTCATGGGACAATAATTCTAAAATTTTAGGGCAAGTTAGGATTTCCCTACAAACATGACAATAATATAACCCAGGCCAACAAAATACATTCTAGTTCGTGATGTGGTAAAATGCACAAGTCTAGCTACCCCACCCATGACATCATGGTATTCTAGCCATAATTCTCTTCCTAGTTCACCCCCAAACAACTTCCTCACTAGCCAACACTTTCATATAATTAATAGATATAAATCCTGATTTAATGAAACCTATCCTGATAAAGAAAAAGCAGAACTGTGAATTGCTGCCATGTGACAGGTGTAATTTCTTCTGTTCGTCATAAAGATGGTAACTGAAGCACAGCCCCATCCCTAACACAAGAGCGTTTCCAACTGTAACCACGGCCGTCACCCAGTGCCAGCTGACCCCAGAATGAGATGACAACGTCTCTGACGGCTCCAGCCATACCTGAGACAGTGGTAGAGCAACTGGACTGTCCACATGGCTTTGTTCCTCACATGAAAACCTGATTTATTATTTTCGTCAGCCAGCGCATGTAAGGACGAGTAACAGTGTTTACTTGGCTTCCCCTCCTCACCCCCAAACAGAAAGCACTAGAACACAGTGCAGGAGCACGGAGAAAGTCAGTCTAGCCTCTCATCAGAGGGAAGGAAGCCGACACAGTGGACACAGTGGACACGTACCAGCACGCAATGGTTGTAAAGCAGAACAGGGCTGAACCTCAGTCCCACTCAAGCAAGCTACAGAGGACAACTCCTCACAGGGCAGGCTTTCATTCCTGAAGCATCCGCAGCAATAGAACAGTAAGTTTTAGTTTACCAACCCTCAGCCAGTTCAAACGCTGTCTTCCAAACTGTATAGCCCTGAGACCATTTGTAGATAGAACTTTGGATTTGGAGGGAGTTATGTGGTACATGACAGCTATGCATACTTAGTGTGTTTCAAGCCTAAAATTTAAAAAAAAAAAAAATATTTCCAATGGTGTGTGAGGAAAAGATCGGAAATAAACTTTTTTTTTCCCTGAAAACAAAATGGCAGAGTCCTTTCAATTCAGATATTGGGAGAGACATGCTAGGAGTAGGTTTAAGTTAATGGAATGGCCACCTCACTGGAAACAACAAAAATAATGCGAAGAAGCAAATTCACTACTGACACAGCTCCCAAACAAAGAAGTGAGCTCTTCATTTAAACACCCATTATGCTTGAGAAAGGAAGTCTCACCTTGCTCTAGTGACTTGTTTTTGCTTGCCTTGCTTAATATGCTTTTCAAAATATCATCCCCTGGGAAATGGTGGCTTAATACATTCTGCAAAGTATATAAACCAGGGTGAAGAACCACTTTTTTGTTTGTTTGTTTTTGAAAAGTAGAAAGTTGACCCAGGATTGTCCAAGCCTGTCTTCAGCATGGCAAAAATGGTAGAGGTTTAGTAAGCATTTGCAGGTCTGGTGTTGGTCCTTGGTAACAATATCCAAATGTTCTACGATACCATCTTAGTCTGGGATGGGATGTGTGGTCCCCCAGATAGCGCCTGGTCATACTGCTGCTTGCTATAATACAAGTTATTACAGAGGGCCAAAAGCCAGTACTGTTCATTTTCAATAAAAGGTATTATTTGGAATAGAAAAATACAACAAGCATGAGCATTAACCCCCCCTACACACACACACACACCACACACACACATACACCACACACACACACCACACACACCACAAATTCTTCATAACACTTATAACAAAAAAAAAATGTTTAAAAATAAAATTTTAAAGCCTCCAACATCAGAGATGTAGTCAGACTGCATCCACTTTAGCTACATGTAAAAGACCCCACAAGATAATGTCCTTGCTCTTCATTGTAAGCCTTTTCAATACAACAGACCACACAAGGCATTGCACTTGGTGGCTACCAGGCTACCATGCATGGTGAGAATCCAGTACGGGAAGCTGCCATAGCAAATCTCTTCCACAGCGGATACACTGGAGGGTTTTTAGATTTATTATCTTTTGAAGACAATGGGTAGCCTGTACCAGCCTCACAGCTGTAGTGCACCCCTCCTGCCTCTCTGCCTCCCGAGAGCTAAGTTACAGACCTGCGCCACAAACTGGCCCCACCCTGGCAGACTGTCAGCTCACATGCAGGGTAAGGGAGTCTGAGAGGGCGGCATACCTGAGTCATCCTATCAGACACCTTCCTCAAGAACTAGAGTGTGATTACACTATCGGACAGACCAAGACCAGAAGACACCAGCCCATCAGTGCTGAAAAAAAACAAGGCATTCTCCCGGATGGTAGCCACACACGCAGCTTACACCAGCCCATCAGTGCTGAAAAAAACAAGGCATTCTCCCGGATGGTAGCCACACACGCAGCTTACACCAGCCCATCATCAGTGCTGGCATTCTCTCGGATGGTAGCCACACACGCAGCTTACACCAGCCCATCATCAATGCTGGCATTCTCCCGGATGGTAGCCACACACGCAGCTTACACCAGCCCATCAGTGCTGAAAAAAACAAGGCATTCTCCGGATGGTAGCCACACACGCAGCTTACACCTTTAAGGGGCAAAGCAATGGGTCACATCTGCACCAACATCTACTGGCATGAGATGGTGTTCTGTCTAGATGAGCACATGACTACACACACTTGATTTTTATAGATCTGGTCAGCTGCCAGTGAGAATGATACAGCCAGAGCAATCAGTCCCAGAACTAAAATGCACCGGGGAATCTAGAGGGCCTCCGTGAGACATGGAGAGGCGCAAACAAGAGTCCCAGTCCACACAAAGGCACACTCTCAGACTGGAGGTGGCGGGGTGTCTCCTGTTGGCACCACACCACTGGGGAGAAGGGAAGGACCTGAAACCACCAAAGCCCTTTCCGTAAGAGGAGCCAGGAAGACGCTCGTTCGGCCCAAGTCTGCATTGTCGGACGCAGTCAGGCACTGGGGACAAACTCTAACATGCTGTCGTAGCCTGGGACGGGTCTCTTTGCTAGCTCCTCTCTACCTGTTTCTCTTTTGAAACAAGGTGCCATGGTGTGTCCCAGAGACACCTCTGTCCCCTCTGCCCCTCAGGGGCTGCAGTCTTCCCTTTAAACGTCTGTCACATCCTCTTCTTAGTGTATAGCAAACGCCTGCAACACAGACATTTCTTCGCAAAGGAAGGAGATCTAATAGCAAAAGCTGAACAGTTGAGAGGAAGGGGCCAGTGTCTTGGTTACTGGCTAGCTTCACTCTTGTTAGGGGGAGACAGCCCAAGACTCCAAAAGCAGCAAGTAGCTCTATTTGTGACCCACCATATTAATCTACTAATGAAATTCCAGGAGGCATCTCCACTCATCACACACTAGTTTAAAGAAAAGGTTGAGATGAAGTGAGGTTGCTGTGTGGGAAGGAACGAGGGGCTGCGCCTTCATAGACTCAGAATCTTTTAGCCAGCCCATAACTTCTGTACCCACTGGCCTTTCCTAAAGGGCACAGGTGCCTGTCAGCACGGGCCTTTGTAACATACGCCCATTGCCTACAATAATCTCCTGCCACCCAGTATTGCTCTTTTAGATCTTAGCTCAAGAAATGCACCTTTACACCATCACTGCACCAGGAGACTAGATCAGGCTCTCACAGCGCTGCCTACATCCCCACCATAGGACTCCTCACAGGGGCTGAGCCCCTATGCGGGTATTTAAAGTGCTCTCCCAATACGCAGCATGCACGCGTGGCCCTGAGCCACCTTCCGTCCTGTGCACAGCACAACTGGGCATGTATATCGGACACACCAACAAGGTATGGTGGAGTTTGAAGCATTTCTTCGATGATTAATAGCATCTGGGAAAATGCCGCCGTGACTCAAAACCACCAAAGTTTATAGTGTACACAGAGCTCGGATGCCTCTAGACATTTTAAAGAAGAGAATTAAACAAAATGCCCTCCCCCAAACACACTAAATACCAGTAGACAACCAGTCTTCTAGAATGCACTACTGGAACGCTGCATTCATCGCCAGTATCTCAATGGAAGACCTGAGGTGTCACCGTGAGGTGTCAAGGACACGGCACACAAACTTTTATCAGCAGCAGGAATACGGCCATGTAAGGCTGCGAAATGGCTCTGGTGGGCAGGGCCACTCAGAAATGCCCCACCTACACTGACCTACCCCACCGAAACTGCACAAAGACAGACACTTTGTTTTCTCTAAGTAGACACATTAAACTAGGGGTTTCCACTCTTTTCAGACTGCACCTCAGAAATAAAGGACATGGTAGAAACAGGTGGCCCGGGGCACTTACAGCCCCCAGTGAATCACGGTTTCCATTGTCACCCCAGGGTTTACTTAAAGTCTTTAACAACTGCATCCTTTTACATAAAAGTTTTTAAAAGATTACACATATTTTCCACACCGCAGCCTCATGCTCTGGCCTCAGAGATGCCACAACGCACACATGGAGCCAACCCTCAAGCTGACCTAAGATTGCCTCCTTCCGTCTCTCACAGACATCGCTAAGCTTCTGCTCCCCAGAGTGGGACACAGTTAAAAGCTGCCTTAAAATGCCCACCAAGGAAAGCCAGTGTGACAGGTTTTGCTGTTTTAATGAACAGGTCTTCCGGGTGACAAGACTGTCTCTGTCAAGCATATAAAGAACTTTGAACCCAACAGAAAACTCAGGTACACAGGCTGAAATTGGCACCAAATCTGTGGAAAAAAGGAACTGAGATAGAGGAAATCACAGTATACCGTTGCACATGCCCAATACTGTGCAGACCACACGCCTGCAGCTATGAAACAGAGCGGCCTCGCGGAGGGCACAGACACTCGGCCAGTGGCCATCCTGTGCCGCACTCACCATCTTCAAGGCCCATGGCCTCTTTAGTTCTAGATTTAAAACACGGTCCAGCGGGAAAATCCACCAGCAACACAAGACCGCTGATACTCCACTGCACAAAGAAGGCTCAAACAGAGATAACTTTCCCTTTTATTTCCTTTCAACTAAAAGGTGACTTCTGCTGGAATACCAATACCACAGGAAACAGTAAAAGAAAAACAGTAGAAACATTCTAAAGCAAAACAGCCACTAATTCAAGGACTGAAAAATCGTTCTTCCTGAGCAAGGTGGGTGAAGTTTACAATCCCACTTCTCACACAGAAAAAGGCTTCAGGTTCAAGTTGGAGGTCAGCCTGGGTCACATGGTAAGTTACAGGTCAGCCTGGCATTCCAAAAGCTCCCGTCTCAAAATAATTATTTCTTTAAAATCTCTATAGTGAAAACCTTTAGGGAAGGATATAATGGAAAAAAAAAAAAAAAAAAAACCATGACAGGTACACTATATGACATATAGTGACAGGTACACTATATGAAGGAAACTAAAGCCCACGGCTCACACAATTTGCTCAGTCACAAAGATGTAGCCTGCTTCCCATTATAACTTACTATAACTTAGCAAAAAGTCTGGGAAAGCCTGCTGGGTCCAAAGTCTTAATTGTTATGGTAAAAATAAGCAATAACATTATAGTATTTTACTGGTGGCTTAAAGTTAGTAATACACTAGGCCTGGCATTGTGGTGGTACATGTCTTTTTACTACCAACACCGGGAGCCAAGAGGCAGGGGGATCTCTGTGAACTGGAGGCCATCTTGGTCTACATCGTGAGTTTCAGGCCAGTCAGGGCTCCCAAGAACTTAGACATTAGATTTTGTATAATTATGAGTTAAAAGTACAATGTCCTCTGTCAAGCTTATCAACAAAATCTGGTATCATTCTTCCAGCTACGAAGTTGGCTACCGGTTGCGGTCATGCACCTATAGGGTCTTTTAGGGGACTACTAGTATCTACCAAGAATGGGCCCCGGAGGCTAACACTTGGATGCGGGCTGTGACCCTCCCCTCTGCTGCTGGCACTTACCTTGACGGGTATTTCAGTGAGTAAGCAGCAGCCAGAAATCCTCCCAGGTTGTGTCCAAGCAAGATCATTTTGTCCAGCCCGAGGGCACACCTCCACTCCTCAATGGATTCCACAAACTGATTCTCTACTTCTTCTGCGTCGCCGTCAAACCTCGGTCTACTGCTTCTCCCAAAGCCCAAGAGGTCAAAGGCATAGACGGGCCTGTCGGTGCTCAGATCTTCAAAATTCAGGGCCCAAAGTCCAAGGCCTCCTCCAAAACCATGAAGGAGGACAAGTGGCGTCTTACTAGAAATGTTGTGAGAGAACATCAGTGTCCATATTCTGTTTCCGTTGGATATGCGGACAGGCTCTTTCTTGTAAGTGCAGGGGACACCTGGTGGAAACAGACAGCACACTACTCAGTCTCGCTGCTTCCCAGTACTCTCAGAGCAAATTCAATGGACAGCCGGCATGCTATTTCACCTTTTATTACATCAACCCCAGAAGAGTATATACCTGATAAATAAAGCAAGCGAGTCTAAGTGACCATGTTTTATAACTACGTGGGAAGACTTACCTTAGATAAGCCTCACGTGTATGACCTCCAGACTTCTCTCCACTCTAGCAGCACATGAGGCCATTACATCCCTGGAACTGGAGAAGAACCTAGTGGCCTTTAACCCATTTTTTTAAGGTCCCTACCTTTGCAGACAATAATGAGAGAATTCCACCTTGGATCTGAGACTGAGGTCAGACTCGAAAGGACACAGAGTCGTCAGGAACTGGGGGAAGGAGTGACCAGATCTACACTAAACACTAAACAGCCACTTAAAGCTTAGTAGAAAAGGGCGGTCACAGGGCATGGCAAGAACTTCATCACGAGGCAACCCGAGTTCAAGCGATTGCCCAGAAAATAAAAACAATACAGCTTTATACATCAGAACCCCTGTGTTAAAAACCACATAGAGCTAAACACTTTAAACCCCTCAAGTTGACCAAAGATGAAACTGAAGTTGATTGATAATAAACCGTAAACTGAATGGCTACACTTCAGGAATGTCCTTAAACGTCTGTGCATGTACATGTGTGACAAACGAAATGTGGACAGCCACGTGTTTCTTCCCTTTGTCAAAGAACTAACTTTAGGTTTTGTATTCATGGTGGCAGCAAAGAGGAAGGCAGTGTGTGCTCAGAGGTGTGACAGACCCTGCCTTAACTGGGAAGGAATCCCCTCGCTTAGAAGAGGAGTTGATCCAGGATCTCTTCAGCTTTTGAAACAGGCCTGAGAGGTCCCATAAGAATTATTTTTAATGTTTAGTAGAGGCTCATCCCGATGTTCAGTCACTTACATTCATGTCTGACATCAGAGCATGGCCAATTCTTAGGCACGCATGCACACACGCATGCATACACACACACACACACGCACGCATACACACGTGCACACACGCGTGCACACACGCATGCATACACATGCGCACACGCACGCACGCACGCGCACACACACACACACACACTGGGAATCTAGAATTAGCACCACTGGATGATGGTGGCACCTTTAATCCTAGCACTTGGGAGGCAGAGAATCGGATCTCTATGAATTTGAGTTCCAGGACACAAAGAAACCCTGTCTTAGGGAAAACGAGTTTACATTGGTAAACCACGATGAAAATTCTGCTAGTTTTTATATGGAGCAACATCATTAGGGTATGTGGAATAGAGATTCATTTTTGTGTTAAAACCCACAGGGTGAACGGCCATTCCTAAGAATGTAAGCAGTTATGGTCAGTTACTCTGCAACTGCCAAGTGTACAAACAAGGGAGTCACGGACAGTCAAGAGGGTGGAGACAGACATTAGCAGAGACAAAACAGATAATCACAACCAGAAGCCCTTTCCTTACCCACCGCTGCAGATTCTATCAGCAGGACAAAACTGTACAGTAAATACCAGAAGTCTCGATCGATTTCAGTGCTCATAAGAAAAAACGACAGGACTCCGTGGCAATACAGACGCGATGTAAAGGTAGCACAGTCAAAAGCAATGCCAAGAGCGCCCTACCTGTCGCTCCATGGTAATGAATGGGAGGCTGAACAGGGTGACTCGGCCCAAAGGCTGCCACCACTTCACAGGTCTGGGACAAGTTGCTAAGTTCAGTCTGGACTGTGTCCACTAATGCAACTCTGGAACACTACAACATGCTTTCAACCATACGGTTTGGGCACATCGGGAGGTCTTCCAGAGGTTTTCAGGATATTAAAACTTTCATTAAAGCTTTATTTGCTATTCTTTTATAAATATTTTGTTTTTTTAAATGTGTGTGTAGAGTGTGCGCGCGTTCAGGACAATGCAATATATTAGATCTATTTTAGTAAATAGTTAAGTAGCTTATAAGAGGAAAACCTTACATTTTAACATTTTCTCTTCAGCTTCTTTAAGGTGTGATGTAGACGTGGGACACCAGGTAGGAAGCCACCCTGTTAGCCATCCTGACCTAGAATACCAAAAGCAAAATGCAAATAGGTGAGGTCATGTTTTTCTCAACTCCCAGCCATGGCACCCTGAAAAGCCAAGCCTCAGCAGAGCCCACCAGGAGCCCCACCAGGACCCCACCAGGAGCCCCACCAGGAGCCCACCAGGAGCCCCACCACCGTGGGAGGGAGGGCCAGTACCGGCGGTGCAGGCCAGTGGGATAGGAACTACAGGGACACAGCCAAGTCCACCTTCCCTTTCAGGACAGCCAAATCCCAATAATTATAGAAAGGCTAAAAGGGAGGGAGGGGAGGGAGGGACACCACTCTCAAAGTAAGGTAGTCTCTTGACAGGATAGACGTTCAAAACGCTGTCTATGAGTGAATACACTAGTCTATGAGTGAATAGGTTCGCCTCACCTGAACAGCTGCCTTACAGTGAAAACTTTAAAATTCTCATTTTAAAAACAGAAAAAGGAAAAGCTTCAGAAATCGTGAGAAAGTGCAAAAAGCTGACGGCCTGTGCTCAACCTGCCTAGAGCAGCTGGTTAACCGTTCATGGGCGGAACAGCCTTGGCCCCAATAAACAGCTGAGGAGAAGAACACGGTGGAACCAAGAGAACACGGGAAGCGAGCCTGAGAGAGCAGGACGATATAGAGGGGCTGCAGCTGACACTTGCCAGGAGCCAACTGCCAGGTGGGGCAACCTTCAACTTCGGGCCTGGCGGCAGGCAAAACCTTGCTGCAGTAATCGGACACACGGCACCGGTTAGCAGCCATCTACAGCTGGGAAGGGTGCTGTGGAGCAGGGAGACATTCCCGATGAAAGACAGATGAATCTGAGGAGGGGCCATTTCTAGATGAAAGCTAAGGGCCTGAACCACAGAGGGACAGAGACATGAAGATTTAGCCAAAGAGTATTTAAAGCTCAAACACACTAAATCTGCTCAACGGCTAGAACGTGTAATACAGATTCTTGGGGTTTTACCTCAGAGTACCACCACCATGACAGAGAACACACTAAATACAAATAGGGATACAAATGAAATACAGAAACAGACACCCTGACGCTGACTCTCTGTACCGTAAATAGAATAAAACAAGCAACAAGAGGAACAAAGTGGTGTGGGCAGAGAATTAGGCTAGGTTCGGGAAGGGATGATCAGGCTCTAGCTTTTTCTAAACGCCATAGACTATCCCTACATTTCCTTTTCCTATAAAATAATTTATATATAACAGGAAGTCAGTAACTAGTGTTTGACGGATGATTAGGCCCAGTTCGCAGATGTGAAAGCTGGCGTTCAGTTAACTCCAGGATAGAGAAGGATACACAGCTAGTAACAAAAGAGGATCTTTGAGTTCCATTCTGAAAGACCCCCTCATCCCTGTTGACCACAGGGCAGTACCTCCCTCAGCATGCCCGTGGAACTGGCTGTGGCCCACACTCCTTGGTCCTGTCCACTCTGCTCCTTCCCGGCTTCTCTCTTGTTTTGCATCATCTCTCTCAAAACTTCACACTACTGCCTGTCGCTATGGCTCACCCAGCTCTTCCCTTGGCCCCAACACTCGCTTTTCCAGAAGCATCAGAAGCCGGCCCTTGCTACAGACAGTTGTGTGTGTGTGTGTGTGTGTGTGTTCTCGTGTTTATCTGCCTACTGCATGGTGAACACAACCAAAGTTAAATCTGTCTCAAAGCTGACCTTAACATCCAGTGCTAAATACGACAGCCAGTGGTCATGTGAGCCCTTGGGAATGTGACTGGAACTGGAGGCTGCAGTCAGCAGCCTCACAGAGGTGTGATCAAGAAAGGCAGATGGAGTCTCTCTGTAGGCAACCAGAGCTTAGCGTACCTCGGGTTCTACAGCAACAAGGTGTGCCGGCAGGGGAAGGGCCTGAAACTTCAAAACAAAGAGTAGCTGAAAGTTGACACAGAGAAGACATCCAGGAAAAGAGACACCATCGGCATGTAACACAAAAGGCGACCGGAGGAGAGGACCATGACCTAATAGCTGCACTCTCCAAAATAAGCGCGTCTGTCCCTTTATAGTGACAGTTAACTTTCTTCTCGTCTTCATCTTTAGATTTAGATTTAGTTTTTTAATTTATTGCCGATGTTTTAACTTTCAATAAGGAGGGTCATGCGTTTTTGCTTGTTTTAAAATCATCGTTAAATCCTCTTCTATACCTGCATCTCGTCCCTATTTGATCATAAAACTATAAGCAAGAAGTTATGTGTAACTGGATCTCATAACTTTTCTTAAACAAGTATCCTTCAGATCATAGCATAGTTCTCTGTCAGAGGTGGAGATCAGTACGAAAAAAGGAAAAAAAAAAAAAATGAACTATGATCTACTATTGCTCCAAATGGCATACCCAAGTTGGGGTAAAGAAAACACAAATGCAATATTTGCATCAGTCGTTAAGAACAAGAACCAACCAAGCAAGCCAAAAATTCAGACTGGAAAGCTCCTTTGCACAGGGGTTTAGAATTTTAAAAGTAACTAAACAGGCTGTAATACAGGCGTAGGCCTTCCTGCACTGACTAGCCACTTCAAAAAGCAACTCTTATCATGGGGCCCACAAAACAACCTTCAAAGGCTAGAACTATCTGTGAATTTTGACTCCTAATGGCTAGTTCAATTTACTGTTTGTAAGCCTAGTGGGTTACATCAAAAATTAAGGGGCACCAATTTTCATTATATTTTCATAGCTACCTTTTCATCAGCACAAGGCCAGTCTTTACAAATGAGCTTTTCCTATAGTATTATTTGCAGTGGGGGGAAAAAAAACACACATATTTTCTTTCCTAATAGAACTATGAAGACAGCATTTCCCCTAAGCCTAACAGTGCCTCTCTCCAAGTTTGCTTTAATCAGATTACTGGTAAGATTTTTACAGAAGTGAACTTCTACTCTGCACCTGTAAGACAAAATACCACACCCACACAGCAGGCTCCTAGGAATACCTGCAAAAGTGAAAGCCCTTGGTCTGTCTGCCTGCCCTTCAGTCTCCTGTTCAGAAACCCTCTCTCCTCCCTTGCTAGCTCTGCTATTCCCTGGCCAATCCTCTCTTGTGTCTGCAGAGTAACTTAAGCACATCTCCAAAGGGACAGTGACTTTCTACTGGGCCTCTGAGGTCACTCAGTTGTCTGGCATTCCCTGGGCTTAGCATGTGGACACTGGATCTAAGGCTGTCACAGATTCAAGGCAAAGATCCTCACAGGCCAGCTGGAGAGCAGTAAACAGGATAGCTGTCTCTCTACACAGCTTTGTAAAATAGAAATGGGTAGCCTACTTAAGCAACAATCAATAAGCATTATTACACCCATAGCCAAGGCGTGGTTTCAGAACAGATGGAAGTGTCGACTGCAATACAAGGGAAAAGCCATTCACTGCAAAGATTGTAACTTCCCCAAAGTAAACACACATAACACCACGAAGGCTTGTCAGTATGTGCCAAAAGGTTTTCTACAAAAGCCCTATGACCTGGGCACTGACTGTGTTGGTACAGCAGAAGGTATAAGCCCTGAAGCATCTAATTTAAAAAAGTAAATAATTAAAAGATTCTTGATCTGGATCTATAATCACTGGAATGGAAATTAAAAAAAAAAAAAGGTTAAGGAACGTTTTTAGAAGATGAAACTAAAAGTTATAACTCTTAGGGAAACCAAGTAGTTGGGATTAACACACTAGAGTATATTTACCAAAAAACCCATCTGATTTTAAGTATCCTGCATTTCCCCCTGAACTTTCCACCTAAGTTTTTTGTAACTATCACTAACAATGTACTTGTACCTCATGCCATGGACACTTAAGTTCCTGGTAATTCCTGTTTTGTTCTCTGAGCCATCTGACTATCTATAGTGTTACTAAACCTGAATTGCACAATCTATAAATATTGTGAAATTGTGAAAGAGGTTTCAAAGTATCCTGAAGAAAATATACAGAAGCCTGGCCAATTTCCACATACTCTTTTGGCCACTTAACGTAACATGTCTAATTAGGTTATAAGTAAAGAGGATTTCATTATGTTACAGTTTTGCTTAAAATAGCCTCATCCCTCTACTGGTGTAATCGAGAGGAGAAAGTGCACTTACTACTATTGTTCTCTGTAATCTAAGCACAGGATTCTATCTTAAAAGAGCCACAAAGCTTTGTTTTTTCTTTAATAAACAAACAAGTTAGAGGTAACATACACATTCCTCTGAAATAATTCCTCAAAGAAGAATTAAAACCTTTCAAATTGGGACTGCAACACAACCAAAGTTTCTCCTTTCTTGGGAACCGAGTTTTTTAAATCCCTTCCTTGTGAAAGAGGGAGAAGGAGGGTACATAACATGTAAGTATACAACCTAAATGATGGACATAGCATCTTTAGATATACGGTACTAGAATGACTCAGGTTGCCACTGGCCATTGTATCCATGACAGCACAGCCCTCCAATATACCGACTATAGTTTAGAATCCTTTTCAAGGCTGTGTGGTGTGACTCAGGTCTGTGATGCCAACACTCAGGAGGCTGAAATACAAAGATTAAGATTTTGAGGCCAGTCTAGTATATACAGAAATACCCTGTCTTACAAAACCAAGAAGTTAATACCCACAAGCCCACGCGTGCACGCACACACGCACACACACCCTTTCTATGGCATTTCCTAACTCCCCTCACAGTTAACTGATCAGAAGAATCAGACACGTTTAAAGCAGTTACATGTGGGCACTCATACTGCTCAACAAGTCAGAGAAATGTTTCTTTAAGTCAATTATAAAATAACCTTATCCATCAGAAAAGGAACGTCTCAAACCTAATAATTTTAATAGAACATCTCAAACCTAATAATTTTAATAAAATTATCTTTTTAGTTTTTTTATATAACTTACTACAATTGGGGGTATATTAAGTTTAAGTAAAAATTTAACAATTAATTAATCATGATTATTTTAAAAAGCAACACAATGTTTCAGAATGGGTGTTAAAATAGTATGGGTCACATCTTTGAGTCCTGAAACATACTGCTGAGCATTGTTTTGATTACATGGCCCACCCCTGATTTTATAACCTTTGTTTTCGGTTACAGGGCTGACATCTGCATTTGTAGTCTCTGTGACTGACATTCTAGAGTGCAGGGACAGAGAGGCGTGGATTGGTTCATCTGAGGTCGAGAAACAGAATCCTGTTTCCAAACATCCCAGCAAAATTGAAGTGTGTGATTCTAACTGTTGTCCTACTCACATGCAAAAATTCCTGAATGTCTTAGGGACACAAATAAGCTACACACTCGAGATATGAATAATTTACTACTAGGTTTGTAAGCTTAGTGCTCATGTCTGCATAAGTTTATAATAGTTAAAGGTTTAATAAAAAATTATTAAAGACACCAAACATTTTGGAAGGACAAAAGCCTTGTTCTGAGCCTACAAAACAAATATATAAATAAGAATGTGACTAACAGTACTCCAGTGAGACAAAGCAATGTTGGAGCTGAGTGTGGTGGTCCCTTGCCTGCCCTCTTGGCATTTGAGAAGTAAAGGCAGAAAATTCAAAAGATGAAGACCATAATATAAGATCTTGTCTTTCAAAAGCAACAAATGTATTTAAAAGAAATGCCATGGGGGGGGGGTGCTGAGGAGAGGTAAACGCATTTGCTGTGCAAGCATGAGGACCTGAGCTTACATCCCAGCACCCATGTGAGTAAACGTGGCCTAGCATGCCTATAACCCAACACTGGGAGCACATCCCAGGAGCTAGACTAGCCAAACCAGCAAGCTTCAGGTTCAGTGAGAGACCCTGTCCCTCAGGAATAAGGCAGTGTGACAGATGAGGGCACCTGATGTCCTTACCTGGCTTACACATGCAACCCGCACACACATGTACATACACACGCATGCATCACACAGATACACTAAACACCATGACCTTAGCGACAGGAGGTGATCATCTATCCTGGGTTACAGAAAGCGAAGTAACAAACCATGAAGAATGACAGTGAAGCAGGCGGCATGTTTAGGAAGCGTGAAAAACATAGCTTTCCAGAGTTCAGTGTGTAGAAAGGAAATAAGACTGCAAAGCTGAACGGAAGCCACACAGTCAGACTGAGGATATACCACAACTGTAATAGAGCCACTGTGTGTGAAGATGAGTTCCTCCTGGAAAGGAACTATGTGCCGTGCATGTTACCACACTTGCAAAAGTCCAAGGGATGGATATGAAGGTTTTGAACTAAGTGGCTCCCAGGTAAGAACAGGACAATAAAGGGCAGGTTGTTAGGCCCTGTGGGGACTTGAGAATTGATTTGTTATCCAGAGACAAGGGAGCAGGTTTGATACTTAGAGGCCATTTATAAGAATGTAGACAGCCAGAAGGGTGAAATGGTCTTTAAAAAAAAAAAAAAAAAAAAAAAAAAGCAGGAGAGTAAAGGGAAGAGCTACGTACTTTACACACTTAAAGGAAGGAGACACAAACAGGCCATGTATGGACATGTCACACTTGAAACTGGATACAAACAGCCGGCAAACACAAACTATACTACAGTATACTAGAAGAGAGTGAGATTTCAGGCCTGTGCATAAATAAAAATAAAGATAGTAATAACCTCTTAGAGAATTGGTGTATTTAGAAAATAGTTAAAAGTAATAGTAATAAGTATAAAGATAATAAAAGTAACTGCTGGCCTCAGTTAAGAGAGTAAACAAAATGTTGTAAGAGTTAGCTGTCTAATTAGAGTTTATCACTATAGTACTAAATATTGAAAAGCACTCAAGAGGGCTGGGGAATGTAGCTTAGTGGGGCAGTGCTCTCATGATGTCATGTGTGTGTGTGTGAGATCCAAGTCAGATAAGTACTGGCATGGCAGAATTTCATGATTTGGAAGAAGTCAAGGGGCAAGGATTGCAGAGCAGTAGCAGCAAGAAGTACAGACTCCAGCAGTTCTGAAGGAGGTAAGATAAAGAAGCTCACCCATGACTCTCCAAAGCACAGGACTACACACAGGCTTTGACATACATCCAGCAGGGTGCTGCCACATCCATGGAGGCAGCAAGGGAGAAATCCTGTCGCATTTGATGACTTCCATGGTGTGAATTCTCTCACAATGGCTGGTTTCAGGGTGCTGGTGCTATGAAATTTCTGAAAATTCAGCAATGGTCTGCCAGCACATACCAACCCTAGCCTGCCCTGCAAGCCACCTATTTTATAGTCCAGTCTGTAATGGTGTGATTCTGTGATAACTTTCCCCTAAACTCAATAAGCACTTAATTCTCTGGGACACCATTACAGTAAGTCACAGGCATCTACTCTATTTTTATTATTATTATTATTATATTTGGCTTTCTCAACTGTATTGCAACTGAAAGGGTTGGGTTTTGAAAGCTTCCCAGTACACTTGTCTCCACAAAGGAGTCACAAAGGGAAAGACAAGACTTATATAGCTGTGAGATGACTGTTTTATAACCACTTGCTTTATTAATGTCATCTTTGTAACTAGCAAGTTAGGTATTTTGTTTATAGTTCTGGAGGTACAAATAGATTCAGCAGGATTCATTCTGGTGTTGAACTTTTCCTGGTAAAACCCCGGGTAGCACATGAGAAGACACACTTGGTACAAATACTGACCTTTCCTCCTCTCTCATAAAACCACAAGGATTCAGTCACTGGGACTCCATTCTACTCACCATCTGATCCTAATCGCTTCCCTAAGCCTTGCTTCTATGCACTCTCATCAGATTAAAGTCCCACTTGCTAATTCCTCACAATGAGGGTAAAATCTGAACACTCAGATCATAGCCAAATTACGGCACAGTCTAAGCCCAAATGTCCTGAAGAACTTGACTCAGAGTAGTAGGCAGATATCCATCCCACCGGTTCCAATGCAGTGGAGAAGCAGCAGAAAGAAGGAAAATGACTTAAAACTAAATGCAGATCCCTGAAGGCGTAGGTTCCAACTAGCTCTACTACTTGGTAGAGGCAGTTCCAAATGAAAATGGGGGGAGTCAAATCTAGACATTAGGGTTGTTATGACCACACTGGGAGAACACCCAGCAGGAGCTTAGTCTTCTCCGTGCTTGCTTGCCATCTCTGTGCAGATACAAAGCACTGCTCAAATGCCCTGCCAAGAATATACCAAGGAGGGTTACCCCTGTCTAGGGAGTGCGGCTGGTCAGTGACCTCCAGCCATCACCCAAGCCATAAGTTGCTCTCTCTCTCACTGTTGTGCTCTGGACCGAGCCTCACGCCATCAAGACCAAAAAGTTCCAAAGCGGGTAGTCTCAGAGCCAAAGTTTCCTGACAAATCTGATAGGAACACAAGCTGCCAGTTCCTGGCTGCACCACGTGACACTCTGCATTTCCTAAAACAGTGCGCCCAACTTTTACCGCTTGATCGAAAACTAGGAGATTGTGGTTTCTTAATGCTTCAAAATACTCCTTTCCAATACTTGCTTTCACAGTACCACAACCCAACTTTCCTGTGCAAATGTCTCCAAATATCTGCAGTGGATCTGTCGAAGTATTTATGAGAGAGAGAGAGAGAGAGAGCCCTGTCCATCCAAAAAGGGCAGCCTCCTGGGAACCAATGCAACAGCTTACTACTCTACTCACAAGAGCATGGCATATATCAAAGACAGGCGAGAATGACTTAAAACGAGTCTATCGGAAAGCTGGGTGTGGTGCCTCACACCTGATGCCAGCGCTGAGCGGCTGAGGCGAAAGGACTGGAAGCGAGCCCGGTCTACACTCACACACACACACAGCTTCAAAAACAAAAACAAAACAAAACAAAAACAAATCAAGGGCTCCCTGCTAGGCATCTATCTGCCTGCCCTTCAGCTTCCACAAAGTTTGCTGCCGGGAAGACTCACTCGCCGACTCTCCTAGCAGCGCCAGGGCGCGGGGCCCCGGGAGCGCACCAGGCAGGCACCGGGGCGGTGAGAGGCGGGCGCACACGGACAGCTGACCGTCAGCCTGCCCGGAAGTCGGACGCCTTCCGGGGCCACATGCCCACTCCCCACCCCGTGACGCCCGGCTTCCCGCGTCCATGCGCGGCCGCCGGTGCCAGCGCGGAGCTCCGATCTCCGCCGCCGGGGTCGCCGGGCGTCCTGAGCGGCCGCTGTCCCCGCAGCCCCCGGCGGCGCGGCGCGGCCCGGTCATCCCGGACGGCCCGGGAGCGGTGGCGCCCTCGCCTCCCCTGCCGGCACCGCTCGTCCCCGGGGCGCCCCCAGACCACGGCGTCCCTCTTTCCCGGGCGAGCCTCACCCTCCAGCGGTGTCCGCCGAGTCCGCCTCCTCCTCCGCCGCCATCGCGCTCAGCGCCGCCGCCGCCGCCGCCGCCGCGCAAGCGCAGGAGCGCACCCCGAAGCCGGCTGACAGGCCGACTGGGCGGCCCCGGGCCGCGGCCGCCCTTAAGACCGCGCCGCCCGCGCATGCGTCGTCCACCCGCTAGGACGATCCGAGGGCGTGGCCACGCCACGGGCACGCCTCTCTTCCCCGCAGCCCCGCCTCCTCCCGGCTGCGCATGCGCCGCGGCCCTGGCTCCGGGGGGCTGGGGAGGGAGGTACACCCGGCGCTGCTGCGGGAGAGGCTCGCCCGCGCGGGAGAGTTAGGCGGGCGTTCATCTGCGTAGTGACCATTAATGCGTCACGCCGCCCGCATGGACGGTCCCGGGCGGAGCGCTAGGCAAGCAGTCCGCAGCCAAGCCCGAGAGAGCCTGAGTCTGCGGGCCACACGCAGAGGTGGGCGTGCTACGGCGTTGGTGGCCACCGGGAGAGGGCAGCCCACGGGACCCTTCAGTGCGCCGCTCCTCTGACCCTAACCTGCACTTCTCCCACACAGGCTCTAGACACGTGAGAAGGCTGGGAGCCCGTGTGAGAAGTTTCTACACCCCGATAAGCCTCTCCGCAGTTGCAGCAATCCAAATCTAACAGAATTAGAAAATGCCCACGTTTAATGGATAGATACATCGCTCCGGGATGGCCTTCCAGAGAGGAGCCAGGAGAGACTGGAAAAAACCACACATCTAGGTTTTTTTTTTGTTTGTTTGTTTTTTGTTTTTTGGGTGGGGGGATGTTAAGTACCCTGTGGAAGTGGTCCTAAGCATCTCTGCGGGAGGAGACATCATTTGGCGGGCTTTCTGAGATGCAGCAGGGTTTGGAGGGAGGTAGGGGAGAGGGGTTTGGGTGGAACTTTTCACCATAGCATACCCATACTCTGGGTATATGGATGCCAGGGGCTGGGTGAAGCTTCCAGCATAACATTATGTGTGGGTACTTAGAATTGGACATATGCACCCCACTACCACCACCATAGCTTCTAGGGAACTTCTAGAATCCATTCTGAAATGATGGGTGGCTCATAAAAATATTCTCATGAGCCAGGCGCGATGGTACAAGTCGTTCATAACAGCATTTGAGAGCCAGGCAGGCCCATCTCTGTGAGTTGGATGTTGAAGACTAGCCTGATCTACCTAGGGAGTTCCAGGCCAGCCAGAGCTTACACAGTGAGATCCTGTCTTTAAAATAAATGTAAAAGGGAGGGAGGCCAGAGAAATAGCTCAGTGGTTACCGTGCATACTGTCCTTGTAGAGGAGAATGGGTTTGTTTTCCAGAACCAATGTAGGACCCCACAACTGCTTGTAACTCCAGTTCCAAGGGATCAACACCTTCTGGCCTCAGAGCACCTCAGTGCATGTGATGCCCAGACAGGCACACATACATACACATAATTCTTTTAAAAATTAATCCTTTTTAAACCTTAAAGCATTCCCTCACACACACAGGATAATTTTAACTTTGTTTGTTGGCCAAGGGACATAAGCAAATGTATGAGACTGATAAAGACAGGTGACCAAGCTCAGTAGGCGAATAGAAGTCAGCAGCTAGCAAGCAAGCCCAAGGTTGTGTTTTAAAAATAGAATTCAGAACCACAACACTCACTGTGATTAAACAAATAGAAGCACCTTGCTGTTGCATAAGGGATGTTTTCCTTGGCTAGGGGCAGATCCCTTGGGTCAGGAGAAAGTGATATGAAGTAGCCTAGCTCTTTGTGCTAGGCTTGTGACTAGCAGCTAGGGCTGCAGCTCAGTGGGCTTTCTATGTATGGGTCCTTAGGTTCAATTCCCATCACCATCCCCACCCCACTCCATTTAAAACAGGATCCTGAGAATATGCAGTCAGCTCCCTTAGCTCAGACACACCTGGATGGTATAGTTGCCTGGGGCTGTTCAGTAGCCTGATATAAGCTAATTGGTTGCGCCTTCAAACCATATTGTGATAAGGTTTCCTTTCCTGGTTCCCAGAGAGCTAACAAATAGCAGGTATGTGAATTTAGGTTTGGACAGAAATGTTCCCACCATACTTTTTTTTTTTTTTAAAGACAAATGAATAATGTAAAAATCAACCTTTTTTAAAAATTACCTGTTAGGAGAGTTCCTCCAGAATCCTGCAGCTGATTTGATTCTGGAGCGTTAGCACCTAGCTTTAATCAGCCTCTGTGAGTACTACCTTTTGTCTCCAGTCCCTTCCATTTGAAGTATGTAAATCCTATCAGAATTTCCTGAAGCCATGTCTTAGGGTGTTTCTATTGCTGTGAAGAGGCACCTTGACCACAGCAACTCTTATAAAGGAAAACATTTAATTGGGGCTGGCTTACAATTTCAGAGTTTTAGTCTATCATCATGGTGGGAAGGAAGCATGGCCACATGTAGGCAGTCATGATGCTGGAGGAGGAGCTGAGAGGTCTACATCCTGATCCGCAGACAGCAGGAAGTGAATTGTGCCACCCACACTGGACATAGCTTGAGCATATATGAGACCGCAAAGCCTATCCCCATAATGAAACACTTCCTCCAACAAGGCCATACCCACTCCAACAAAGCCAGGTCCTTCTACTAGTCTCCACCTCCCCAAGGCTCCACCTCCACAAGGCTCCACCTCTCAAAGCCCCACCTCCCTAGCCGTCTGCCTCCTAGTTGCATCATACTTCAGGAAGCTAATGATCAAGCTTTTGTTTAGCTCATGGCCCTTTGATGGAAACATTTAAGATGCAATCCATAGGACCCAAGTTTATTCCCGCTCTAATCATAATGTCTTACGGTTAAATTTTCCTGAGAAGGAAGCCATGGAATTGTCTGATTTCAAGCTCTGATGACACTGGAGGTGTGGCCAGGTGAATGAGGAAGAGATTTTAGAAGGGCTAACCTTTAACTTCCTTTTGGTGTCCTTCTGGCCCCAGAAATTTTGAAGTCCTGTTGATTAGCAGGAGCCTCTGGAGTCTTCAGTGCCTCTGAATTGCATCCCATTTGAAACTATAGAAGAGCCTGGGTTTTTATTTTCAGTAAAATCAATACTTTTTTATTTCCCCCTACTATATTTTAGGTCTGTTATCTTTCATTTTTGTTCTGACTATTTAATTTCTGGTAAACTCATGCTGAAATAATGAACATCCCAATAAACCAGAAAAAAACAAAACAAAACAAAAAAAACACAGTGCCCTCCACACGGTAGCATTAAAAATGTCCACTGCTTTTTTTGTATTTGCATCTTCAAGAGCAAAACTCATCTACGTAGACATAATATGTGCCACGGAACAAATTTTAGCAGGGACATGCTTATACAGTAGCAGAAAGAAAATGTTCATACCCGCAATTCCCCCAGACATTGATGCCGCCAGCTCATCTGCCCCCTCGCCACCTTGAAAGCACATCCTATATTTAATGTGAGTTATTGAATGCCCATTACATTTAGTCTGCACTTGTGGCGGGAGAGAAGCAGAGGGCGTCTCGACTCCATTACCTTTCCTGAGAAGCAGGAAATGATCTGGTGTCAGTGCAGTAAGTGCCTGCTTCTAAGTGATGCGGCCAATTGGCCTTTTTAGCTTCAGCTCCACAGGGATGCACATGGGACAATTTTCACTGTCAGTCATCGATTACACACTGAAATATTGTCTGCTCCCACAGCTGGAGATGCTCTGTGCCATGGGTGAACAGATGTTACTGGAGATGCTGTCCTGAACTTGTATTGGTCTACCACTCATATTGTTTGCGTGACCAGAGTTGTTTTGTCAGTTTTTTGTTTTCGTTGTTTTGTTTTTGTTTTGTCTGTTTGGGAGAACCAGTTGTTAAATAGTAAAAGCATGAACTACATCTTGAGCACTCTGCCTTGGAACTTTCAAATGGGAAGGAAGTAATGTATGTCACAGGACTTATCAATCATTTCAGTGTAGGGCTGCCTTTACATTTTTTCCTTTGTGGCCTGATTTCTGAATACCATTGTCTGCTCTGCTCTGCTGGCAAAGAATTTAAAGTTTTACAGGGAAAACTAAAATGGCAGGAATGAAGGTGCAGATTAGTTGTAGAACATTGTCCTAGAATGCCTGAGCCCCTGAGTTACCTCCTCAGCACCATGAAAGGGTAAGAGACAGAAAGAGAAGAGAACAACATACAAGCAAATAGGAAACACACAGGAAGAACGGAGGACCATGCAGGACACCTTTCTATGAAGATGCGGATAAAGCATCTTTCCAGATTTGAGAGATGTCGAGACTCTATTGCAACACACATTTATGAAAATAATTGTGACAGCAAGCCTCTTTAATTGAAGTATGAAGTACAAATCGTAATGGTTACCACCCAGGGGATGCACCCACTTAAGCGCCATCCAGAATACAGAGCTGGTTTGAAGGAGAACAGAGACCTCTGATAGAAAGCCCTAGCGTGGCTGTCCAGGCAGGTATGCAAGCAGAGGATGACTCCCAGTAGAAGAACAAATCTCTGACCTTCTGGCATTGAGGTGTGTGATATGCATGGAGCCAGATTAGTTTTTTTTTTTTTTTTCTCTATTAGATGCTGCAAATCAGCCATGAGAACATTTTTAGCTGTGCTGATGAATATACATTTGATAGCTAAATTTAGGGCTTTTATTTTAAACATTTTTCAACCTTGAAACTGGAAGGTGTTGCTAAGCTACCTTCCCCCTTTTCTTAGCGTAGTCTATGATCTAATGTAATTTCTTCTGCTGCAGGTGCAAGGAGCAGGCTCTTGTCAGATACTTTAGGTCCAGAAGTGTAAACAGGGTGTATTGCTGTTACTTTTGTGTCATTTAACTCCTTAGTGTCCTAAGCCTGCACATTTAACCATTGCTTCTTTAGATGTGTGGTGCATGCTTTGCCTGGAGGGAGGTACATTGAACAAAAGTGACAATTATGGCGATAATTAACACGTGTAGTTGTACAAGATTTTCATTTATTATAGAAATTCATTTTTAGCAAAACTAATTTTGCACAGTAGCATGCAATTATTCCAAAAGGACTTTCCAAAATAAGCTCTCAGTAGTGAACCCACCTGT